GTTAAATCACTCAGTGGTGCATACGCTACTGAAGTTGGAAGCAATGTCACTAAGACATATTTAGCTGAGCTCAAGGAACTAGCTAAACTGAGTGGCAAGGATTATGGTGAAGTGTTAAAAGAAATGATGTCTCAAATTGGAGATGATGTTGAAGCCATGCGACCCACATCTGAAGAGTCTCCTTACAGAAATGTTGAGACCACTGTTTCTTCACCTCCCTACCCTAAAGAGCAACAGACACACAGCTCATTCCCAGATGAAACACCAGGTGGGAATGGTACAGCTGATCATGTTCAGACCAGTAATGAAAAGAGAGCACCATCCCTTTCATTAAATGAGATTAACCCACCTGATATCCAGAAAGTCGTGGTTGAGCATATTGTACGAAGACAGGATGTTGTCCCACACATGCAGTCCCAGGTGAGACTTKGCTCCTTCTCTGGAAGATCTCCCAGACCTAATAATGAAACTGACTATGACACCTGGCGCACACATATTGAGTTGCTTCAAAGTGATCCTAGCATGTCTCCTCTACAAATATCCAGAAAGATCCTTGAGAGCCTGCTCCCACCAGCAGCTGATGTAGTCAGGGGCTTACGGCCGGACTCACTCCCTGTGGCTTACCTGCAGCTCCTAGACTCCGCGTTTGGTACGGTGGAGGATGGGGAAGAGCTTTTTGCCCAATTTCTGAACACCCTCCAAGATCCAGGTGAGAAACCCTCTGCTTACCTTCATCGACTTCAGCTAGCATTGAACCGAGCTACACAAAGAGGTGGAGTTCCCTGTGAAGAAGTAGACAAGCATCTTCTTAAGCAGTTCTGCAGGGGCTGTTGGGATAACACCCTGCTCAGTGTCCTGCAGCTTGAACAAAGGAAGAGCAACCCACCTCAATTCTCCGATCTTTTGCTAATGATTCGGTCTGAAGAAGATCGACAACAAGCAAAAAGCAGTCGTATGAAAAAACACATCGGTACCACAAAGCAGAGAGCTCAATTGCAGTTCCATAGTGCTCACTCAATGGGATTTGAAGAAAAGAATGAGAGCAGTGTCAATGCCATTGAGGATCTGAGAAAGCAGGTGGCTAGTTTACAAAGCCAATTAACTACTTTCATGTCACAGAAAAAAACAAAGGGAGCTGGCAGCAAGGAAGCTACAAGGAAGGCTCAGAGCAGAATGTCAAATTCGGTTGATACAGGTGTGGAAAAGCAAAGACAAACAAACAAAGTACAGACATACAAACCTAAACCTTGGTACTGCTTCAACTGTGGTGAGGATGGGCATATTGCCCCATGCTGCACTGACCCTGCCAACCCCATCTTAGTGGCAGAAAAGAAGAAGCAGTTAGAGGAGAAACAGCGCCAATGGGAATCTAAAAGGAGTGTTAACTTGCCTTTAAACTGTTAGCGGTCCCTGTTGTGGGACAAACAGGGGCCGAGGAGAGTCAGCAATGTCCCTCAGATGTAAACAAGGAACCCAAAACCTCTATCAAGGCTAACAAAGCTGGAACGACTGGTAAGCCTGCAGAAAATGTCAAAGCTCAAACATGCTCTAGCTTTCAGCATTCAAAGCAAAACCAACCCTTCCAAGTTCCCAAACAGCTGGTTGGCCTCAAAAGCACAGCTCAAATAACTGTAGAAGGGAAGGAGGTTAGCTGCCTTCTTGACTCAGGCTCACAAGTTACAACTGTGCCTGAGTCATTTTACAGACAGCACCTTTCAGAAAAAAAAATTAAGCCCCTGCATGACCTCTTAGAGGTGGAATGTGCAAATGGCCAGCTAGTGCCTTATTTTGGCTACATAGAAATTGCCATAATCTTCCCAAAGGACTTTATAGGAGTTCCAATAGATGTAACAACGCTTGCTCTGGTTGTACCTGATACCTCACAATCCTCCATACTCATAGGCACAAACACCTTAGATGTATTGTTTGACATCTACTCAGAGACTGAAAAGACTCAAT